GCTTCCAATCCCAGAAGACTCTGATCTGCCTATATCTTGTCCTACCTACCTAGGGCTCTGGCATGTGGCACCCTCACCGCCCACACTACCCTGCCTCCCAGTGGCCAGAGGCCTGGGCCTGCCCTGCTGCAGTGACAGGAGTTGGCTCCCTGGCTGAACTGGTAGCCAGTAATCAGGCTTCACCAACCCAACCAGGGCTGTCCTCACAGAATACTGGACACACAGATCCTGCCCAAACCCATCCTCCCCAAATAGGTGCCTGGGAGTCCACCATTAGCAGTCCGTCTGTCCGCTATTCGGAGTTCTCTTTGAAAACACTCCTCACTGAGACTATCATTCACTATTATTCATTATCCATTTGCCTGCCGTGTTCCTGGCACCATGCTTGGTATTTGTTCAGGGAGAACTACACAGATTAAAAAGATACCACTTTATGTATGTATATTATGCTTTGGTACAAAAAAATTTTTCAAAAGAGACCATTCTATATGTGAAAAAATAAGGTGATTAACCAATAACAAAAGACCCCATTGAGGCAGCTCTTTAAGCCTAGGTTTACCTGAAAATAAGGTCAGGATAATATCTACATCATAGGGTTGATTGTCATGGGAGGTATTTACAACAACATTCATAAAAGCACATTAGTAATAGTAAAAAAAATGGAAACAACCTAAAAGCTCCTCCTTGAGGGAATAGTTAAATAAACTGTGGTAAGACTTACGGTTAAATGTGGAAACTTGGCCGCAGAGAAAGCCTGACACCTTCCAACGTTTGAGAGTCCCCATGAAAAGGCTTTCCCTGTCCTACAGCAAAGCCAATAGTCAATAACTTCACCTCCCCCTACACACACACAGGGTTTCCAATAGGCTTCTTGGTGGCTCCCTATTAAATAGAAATGGAGAGCCAAGAGTCAGCAGATATTTGAGAAAAGCCTCCAAAATGAAAGAGAGAGTCTCCTCCCATATATTAAAAAAAAAAAAAAAGAAAAGCCAATCAAAGGAATCTGGAAGAGACAGAGACACTAAAGGGCACAAGAAAAAGAAAACTATAATTGGAAGGTAAAAAAACTTAGGTGTAAATCAATGCATATAGTTGGTTAGAATTTGTATTTATAAAAAGAAATACCTATATGTTTGTGTCTGCATCAACTATCCCAGGAGGATTTACAAGACTGGAGACAGGAGCTATGTTGGGTTGGGGTACCAGATAGTTCAGAACACAGATTCACTGAAACTTCTTTTGTACCTTTTGAATTTTTCAATATGATGATGTTACCTATGTTAAATCTAATACTGAATTTTAAAAATATAATTATTATCCTCAGAGGCATAGGGAAGATAATTGCATCTTGATTGAAAAAAATTAGATAAATATAACAATGTTTTTTCTAAAAAAGAGGATACATGAAACCTTTCAGAAAGTAGAACAAAAAGACACATAATAATAACAATTAAAAAAAAAGACAGAGGCCAAGGCAGGAGGATCTCTTGAGGTCAAGAGCTCAAGACTAGCCTCAGCAAGAACAAGACTCCATCTCTACTAAAAATAG